CTTGGATCTTCTCTATTTAATAAAAAACAAACACAAGTGACATGCATCCTTGGATCTTCTCTATTTAATAAAAAACAAACACAAGTGACATGCATCCTTGGAAACAATCTTCTCTATTTAATAAAAGACAAACACAAGTGACACGCATCCTTGGATCTTCTCTATTTAATAAAAAACAAACACAAGTGACATGCATCCTTGGAAACAATCTTCTCTATTTAATAAAAAACAAACACAAGTGACATGCATCCTTGGAAACAATCTTCTCTATCTAATAAAAGACAAACACAAGTGACATGCATCCTTGGAAACAATCTTCTCTATTGAATAAAAAACAAACACAAGTGACATGCATCTTCTCTATTTTAGTGGTAACATGAGTTTGTGGTTTATTTTCGGAGGTGCTGAAGACTGTCAAAAAAATATTATCATAACTTGATCAAATAAACTCTTACTGATATTCAGTTAAAGAAAATATCTCTGAGCAGCGTGCAAGTAGCCGTGTTGAAGAAACAAGATAAATTACATGTACTTTTAAATTAAGAGTAAAAATAATTTCTTTAGAGGCATCTTTTAAGTGATCTAGTAAAAATTTATTTTGTTAGCATTCAGTATGGTTCTTCATTTTTAACAATACAAAAAATTAGTAGTTTCAATGTGTGTACACACGTCATTACTTCCTGACAGATTCACAAGTGTTAATTTTAGTTTCACAACAACAACAAAAAATATTCCTTTTCAAACACTATATGACCCCAAAAACTTAATCAAAATCTGTTGTGTATTTCACAAAACATGTTTGTTTCATACAAATATGGTTAATCGATGAAATCAAACATTTTGAAACAACTCACCATTAACATGAGGTGCAACAAAAGTATACAACTCTTTAAAAGTCTCGACTCTTAGTCATTAACTAACCTAACAGTGCTTTATTTCAGTCTGTTTAATAACATAATTAACAGGTTTGGTTTCAAACTTCTGTGAACTGCTTAGGTGTTCTCAGATGTACTAAAATATTTTCATTAAATGTATTTCAATCTAAATTTATTTTCAAAAGCTATAAATGCACATGAAAATATTATTATTATTAAATATTTAACAGTACAGAATTAGTCACATTATAAGATGAATAATACTCATTTTCCAAAACTAATCCAATTACTTAAAAAATTCTCATTTTTATTTTTCTATTAACTCTTTAAAATCAGATTTGGTCAAAGTGTACATGTCATGACCTTTACATTTACATTCAAAACTGAATTTTATCAATGCATGTGAATCCCCTTGGCACCATAATGTAGTTTATAATTCAAATTTTAATAGAAGTTTTAATTTTCTTATTTGAAAAGAAAATATTTAAATAAATTCTCAATCTTCACTTGTCTGTCACATGACAATTTTTTGCTCCGAATTGCCCTTTTTTTATTTTCTTCTGCCCTCAACATGACCTACTAATTTTCCATGGAATTTCAAACTTATACTATACTTATCCCCAAGCTAAAATGTCAACTTGTAGTGATAAAGCTTTTTGCTTTACAGAGATATAACAATAAAGTGAAGGCCACCTGCCAGGACCCTTGAAGCACATCCTGCTTTCAACAGCTATCATAAATTCTTTCCGACATTTACAACTAGATTACTGGTAACCAACAGAAAGAGAATGTTTCAATTTACTGACAACCATGGAGCCTAAAGCCCTTGGAATAAAGAATTTTGAATATTTTGACCTTGTTTTCTCTGTTTATTACTGTTGGAGCTATGATTGGCCAGTTATGGGAATTATTTAAGCCATTTCTAGGTTAGTTAGAAAGCCAGGTAAATTATATTAGTTTTAGGGCATTGTGTTTTATACACACATGGCAATATTTCATATTTAAATTTAAAAACATTTCTGAGACCACATTAGTGTTACTAAGAATTAAGGCTGACTGACCTTTGACATTGAAAAAAGACAAGATTTCATACATAAGTACTAAATTTATTGGTTTTATGTGTATTTTTTATTTACTGTTATAAAAGTAACTAAAACATAACAATTTATTAGGTTAAACAAGGAAACTTTAGGGAAATTAAATAAACAAATACTTGTTATCAATAATAACACGTACCAACTGCAAGTGTGTTGTAATTTGAAACAAATATGCTGTTACTTTGACCTGTTGTTTACATACACATGTCCAGCAAATAAATACAGTCAAGACCTGCATATTGGTCAACCCTTAATTACAGCCATTTTGGCTCAGTCCCACATATTTCCTTCTATTTTATGTTTGTAAAACATCCTGTATTATGGGCACTCGTATTGCAGTCAAATTGACTTGCGGTCACCTGTTTCCAAGTCCCAAGCGGTCTCTTTGAACTCAGTGTTGCAGCCACCCAGGCCGGCTCTCACCTGCCGCTGCCCAGTTGAGACCTGTCAATCAAAGTGAAGCCACTACCGTACATCGACTGACAGCGGGCACGTCTTGAAGGTGTAAGAAACCAGGTGACTATTGATGTTCCCTATTAATGGCATGCTAACCCTACCTGATGCTTCACACTTTATGCTGTACTGATGATCATACATACATGATCAAACAAACAGTACGCTTTCTTTTAAACTTTATGATTTGTAACACTTCTAGTTCAGTGTTTCTTTGGTAATCTTGTAAACAAAAGATTTTTTTCAAAGGGAAAAATTTGCACATTCATTTCAAGTTTTGTCACCTTTCCCTCCATTTTGCAATAGAGCTCTGCTTTCTCAGCCAAATTAACTGTTGACAGAAAGTTGTTGTTTCATGATTTGAGTATCATTACTGCTAGGTGTTCACCCCATAAACAACAGCATCATGCCTTAGCCTCTGATTCTGTATAGTGCAGGGAACAATCATGTATAGAATTTTATTTTTTAGAGAAGAAATGCAAAAATAGGTATGTAAAGATGTTATTACAACATTCTGTATTAAACAGAAACATAGAAAGATGGGTGAGTTGTAGGGGTATGTACTGTGATCCCAGAGTTGACCCCATACGGTGACACCCAGTAATATGGCCACCCAGCTATGCGGTAATTAATTGCTTAGACACACAGCTGACTGGATAAACAGGGCTGGACTGTAGCTTGAGAGGTTCTAAGTGCAACTGTAAAGAAATAAAACTAAACAAAAAAAAATCTATTAGCCTTCTTTGTAAAAACAGATAGTGTGGAACTGTGTGTTACAATGTGCAGTCATTCTAGAAAACAAGCTTGGTCAACTGGACCGAGTCAACATATGGCATTAGAGAAAATAATAAATAAAATATAAGGTTTTACTGAAAAAATCTTTTGATATTCAGTTAGAAGGTTCTACAGGTTCTATGAAATATGAAAATGTTAAGAGGGAGGAAAGTATTTTTGATATTAGCATGAAAACCACCTTGTATTCAGACCAGTCTCTGACTTCACAGAAAAATCCTTAGTAACAGTACATAATTAAAAATCTGATTGTTTGTGTACAAAACACTTGTAATGTATACTAAGAACTCGCCAAATTTCATGAAGATACACTTAATATATTAAAAGTTATGTGTACGTTCATGGCTATCTGGTGGTTACAAGATTGGTTAAAATGACCAAGACTGTGAATACATCTATTTTTTTACGGAAAGTATTATAACACTCATTTCCATGACGACCTTACGGTTTCATTATGAAATTTAAAATGTCATCTGGTGATTTATATACATGAACATGTAGACATTTTACGTGCCGAAATGTACAATATTCTCGTCAATTTTCAGTGCATAAAATTTCTAAAAAAAAAAAGAAGCTACGGCATATGATGAAATGACTTTTAAAAATGATAAACTTCCTCTAACAATGTTGAATGTAACATGTACGTCTTAAAGATAGAATCACATACACAATTATATCCTGATGACTTACTAACATCAGCATGTAAATACTTATAGAACTGCACTCAAAATACCACTTCAAACTGATCCTGTTCAACTGGCTTTTTTATCCAAGTTCCAAGTCCAGCATCCTGAAAAGCCTTACACATTTGGTTTTTCACTGTCTGGTAATCCTTAACAATAGCTTTAGTGTCTGAATACAGATGTGGTTTAAAACCATCATTCTGCTTAATATCCAATGACAACTTCCCATAGAGAGAAAGAAATCTTGTAAAGAAGGAACGTTTGGACAGACGTGACACTTGTCCTAGTTCAGTTTTTCCGGTCTCAGACTTAACTACTTCAGGAAGGAGTTCCCCAAGTGTCCAATTTACACTGTGGTTGGGAGATTTGAAAGGCTGACGAGTTTCTTGGCTACTGGTGGAGGACAGTTTGGGTTTAAAGAAACAATAAGGACTTGAAAGAGGTCCTAAGGAACCTTCTAAACGGCCACAGATAGCACGATAAAAATGACTTGGATGAAACAAACTACCAAGAATGATGCTTTCTAAATAAACAGGCTCTAGGAAGTGCCTTAGGAGGGCACCCTGCATTCCGAGAATTACCCAAGATGCAACCTTGTCAGAACAAGACATGGTTAATAGTCTCTGCTGCCCCTGGATAATCCCATCCCACGTCTGCACAGTTTCAGTACTTTTCACTGGAATAGTTCCCTCACCTGCTTCTATTTTAGTACGTAGCAACCCTCTTGCTTTCCTGTTTGGATGCTTGTCTTCCACTATATCATCGAGAATTTCGTGGGGTGAAAAGATTCGGGCATCACCACAGGGTGACGTACTAATGAATAAGTGGAACTTAATAATGGGTTTTACACGATATCCCCCACCTTGTTTTGCTTCCAAAACGCTTTTTTCTATCTCCCCTCTAGCAACTAATTCAAGCTGTCTATACAAGAAATCTTTCAAGCATCTTCGAGCGATAACTTCTGCATGACAATCATTTAATGTTACACCATTCATACTGATATGTTCACCATTTATACATTTTGTACCAGTAGTTACAGTTATCACTTGAACATCACTCATCTCATCATCTGTGGTCATTGCTATACCTGCCAACACTTTCCACTTAACATAATCCTTTTTATCTGATATAATCTCATTGAATTTTGCATGAACTTGGGAAGCTATTTTGTCTGCTATAGCTGCTGGTAGAAACTGAAAATCATAAGTGCCTCCTTGTTCAGGACTTAAAATGGGATAAGACATAGCATAACTAATTCCATACATGCTACTCAGAACAGCTTTGGCTGCAGCTGCTTTGGCTTGTTTTTTACTTGATCCTGAACCTTCAAATTTTTCTTCCTGGACCGAGACTCCCATTGTAAATCTCATACTAGGTACCATTGGATTTTCTCTAATTAAAGTGAATTGGATCCCAGGATGGAGTTCATTTAAAAGCATGACTGGATTCTTTTTGTCAGCTTCAGAGACAGCTTTGGATGCTTTCTTCACATACTCTAATGGACTTGTTTGTCCAGATGAGTCATGAACCACTAATTGATCATGTGCAGTATCATCTTGCTTTTCAAATTTATTGAAAATGGTTCCATCTTCTAAAGCATCATCTGTAAAATCTGCATAGGTCAGAGTTCGGTTCATTGCTTGCACTGCTCTAGCAGTATCTTTGAACTGAACAAACGAAGCAAGGGCAGCCTGTGCAGCTGCATGTTTTGCTAATTGTTTGGACTTTCCTTTACCATAAAACTTTTGTCCATTTACTTCCACGGATACCTGGAAGCAAGTGTTATGGCCGGTTCCCTCTAGTGACTCAAAAGTGTATTTCAATCCGGGTTTCAGCTCATTGAGTTGCATCAAGGCATTTTTAGGTTGACTAGGCCCACGGTTTTTTTTCTTGCGTTTTGCCGGAGGAGCAATCGTTACCTCAAGCTGTCTTTTCTGTCCTCTGTTCTCAACATCAACTTCCATTAGCTTATTAGTTTCCACCTCAGCTTTATCATTGTTTCCATTACTGATCTGTATTTCTCCACCAGCAGTAGACAGATCAGATCCTAGAAAGAAAAAGACATTTTTAATAATGGTGCACTTTTAACTTCTTATATAAATCTACTGGTTTTGGAATGTATTCAACATTGGCAAAATCAGATGTTACACACAGAGTTTGGCTAATCTGACAACACAGAACTGATACAACATTACATCAACAAAACACCAATATGGACATAATCAGATGTTACACACAGAGTTTGGCTAATCTGACAACACAGAACTGGATACAATAGAAAGGTACATAACACCAATATGAACAAAATCATATGGTGAAGTAGTCATTGAACTATAGGTCAATATAACTCACTGACATATAATAATTGCTTGAATCTAAAACAAAATAGTGGCTAAAATTTTAAGAAAGAAACTATCTTTTACATATAATAATTACGGTTAGATATTCTGGGTCCAAATACTCAATGCTCTCGGCTCAATTCTTTCTGACAATTACACAAGGTTTCTCAACTTGTGCTCCAAGTTGTAACGAACTTCCGATATCATCAGAATGTCCAATGAACAATGAATCCAACTCAACATTACATACATAAGTAATTTCGATGATGAGGAACCCACTTTGAGACTATTATACATAAGTAATATTTAAATAAAGCTACATATAATGTTAGGATGACTGTCATCGGGTCATCTGACCATTCGTCCCTTTACTACCCATTTTTCATATTTCTTACTTAAAAACTCTTACTTCTGCTTTCTATTCACGGTTGTTAATATTCTGATTATATATTTATTATTTTACTTTAATAACAGGACAGTTTATAGGTTGATACTTTGTATAACACCTCAGAATATCCTCAACACATCAGCTGGTAATATCGTTAATTACACCATAGACCTCAGAATATCCTCCACACATTAGCTGGTAATATCGTTAATATTCTGATTATATATTTATTATTTTACTTTAATAACAGGACAGTTTATAGGTTGATAC